AGCAAGCCAGAGATAGATAAGAACTCTTAGACAGCCGCTACAAGTGATACCACAAAAATTCGTTGGCAACAGAATATCAAACTATTCCCCACTTGAGCATTTGCCTTGTCATCCACTTCAGCATCCTCATCTTCCAAGTCGAATTCTCCCTCTTTTTCCTCATATTTGGCATTTTCCTCCAACTCCGTGAACTCGGGTGCGAATGCAGACCAGTTTTCAACATGAGCCTAGAAACTAGGTAGTTTATTTAAATATAGATGAGTGAAAGAGATTTCAAGCTAGACAATATGATTCTTGTTACATGATTTTTCTTAAACTTTTACTAGTCCTTAATTCCATGCAATTTCCTAAACTTTGGACCAGATGTTATTTGTAGTTTGAGACTTTTCCTATCAAAAACCACGCCTATGTTTTTCCAAGACTTGATTATATTGTAAGCTTTAAAAATAAAATGTCAGAGCAACAGGAAATAGCAATAGTACCTGCTGAAGTTTGTTAAAGTGGTCGAATAAATTGCGCATCGCCTACATCTGTTTTATTTATGGAGCACATACTATGTCCTATGATAGTTAGGCCATCAAGCTCAATTCGAGGCCTTCAAGAAGATCTCCGCACCCGGAGACCATGCAAGTTGGAACAATACTTAAAGGGAGTTCAGCAGCCTATGTATTTTCCAGATCTTGCTCCAATAAATTCATTTCCCATTTCCGTTCCAACCCAAAGAAGAGAAACGATCGAAAACGATATGTCAGGAAATGGCTGAAAGACATCCTCGAGGGGAGGCTTTACTTTCTGGTATAATAGCACCGGTATATCCAAAGATGGGGAGAGATCACAAGCGACGAACACTGTATTTCGAAAGAATTACTGCTACCGCTTCTCGAATTACTATTTAGATAGATTTGGAGAATAGAACTGTGTCGAAAGTTTAGTTTCTTGTTAGAGTGACAATTAGCTTGTCAGCTCGCAATGTTAAACAAAGTCAAGTGTGGAAAACCATGTAACAACTTGATATGTACCACACCTGTGTCCAAACTGATACTATTCCATTGGCAACAGATAGTATAACAGGTCGAATTGGATGCCACTGAACATCCATCAGACACTCTCCCTATAAATAACGTTGGTAAGAGAATGCTCTAAACTGGATACTTTCCTAACGTTTTGAAATCAATTGAATTGAGAAAAAAGAACACGTCTAAAATGTTCAGATATACTTTCAATTGAATTATATCTTTGGATAATTACTGTAGTTGAATCAGTGAAATAAAACCGTAACTTAGCAGGGAGATTGATGAACAAACTAACAATCACACACCTTTGTTCCATGCAGAATCTTGATCAATGTTCCAGTTGTCCGCTCCCAGACATATAGTGAGTGAGCTTTTGTACTTGCTCCACAGATGTAATAACCTTCGCTGTCCGTACAAACGGCCTTCCA